TTAGGTGGTGATGATTATGGTGTTGTCCTCAGGTCTGTGAAGGGGTAGCAGTGGGGGTGAGCTTCAATCAGCCACTCGATTCTGCGAGATAGAACAGAATTGTTAGCGTGGAGGTTTCTTGTCAGAAGTCACTCACTCGCATGTCCTCTGGTGCGGTTTAAATCCCTCTCTCTTCATGATTGGGCTTGAGTATGGTGCAGCTGGTGTACATTACGGACTATGGCGATGGGGAATTGGATGACTTGCCACAAATGAAACACAATATTTAGATTTATTTATATAGCATTTTACACACACACACATATATATATATATATATATATATATATATATATATATATATATATATATATATATAACAATACAAATGTTTGTGAAAGTCATAATTTATTAACAGGTGTATTAGTTTATAAAACTGGCCTTATTAGTGTGACTCAAATCACACTGTAAAAATGCTGGATTCCACATAATGGATTTGTGTTGGCACAACATAAAAGGTATTAAGTTAACATTAGTTTTTAGAAATGTAAGTAGACTGAACATAAAACAATTGACCCTACGCTAAACCCCGCCCTCTTTAGTTACTGTTGCTAAGCCTGTCAAGCTTTCGTGCAGGGCACGTCTATTGCAATGTGTATGCGCTAATGTCAGACATTCCCAGGGATATAAATAGTCATTTTTGGCGGACAGGTGAGATATGCGAGAAAGCAAAAGATATTTATGACAAGGTATATTTATGGTATATTAAGGGTATATTTATGACATGATAGGCAACCGATTTGAAAATAACTTGCCGTCTTATACGCTGACCATTCAAAAGCTTAGTTCATCTGCACAGCAGGAGAGGAGAAATTGAAAAATAATCTAATAGTAACAAATTAATCCGCGATTTCTCTTTTTTTTTTTTAGCAAAAAAGCCTGATAGACTATTATGCTATGATAGACTAGGAGGTGCTCCAGTTTCCCCCACAGTCCAAAGACATGCGGTACAGGTGAATTGGGTAGGCTAAATTGTCCGTAGTGTATGAGTGTGAATGTGTGTATGGATGTTTCCCAGAGATGGGTTGCGGCCAGTTCGAACCAGCGACCTTATTACTGTGAGACGATAGTGCTAACCACTGAGTCAACATGCTAAATATATTTACATCAAAATACTTTATCTCATATCAAAATGTACTGCCTGAAGTGTTTTTTTTTCTCTCATTGGATTGTGAGCCCTTTGGTGATTACAGAATGTTAGATTAACAGCACAGCAGATCAATTTTACGGCAGCATGCTAATATTTCCGACATCTTTTCAGCACACAAGTACACTGAAAATAAATACAGGTCATGACTAAATGTGGAGGATCATCTACAAAATGAAACCAAGAGACATGCTGTGCTCCAAACAGTGTGCCCACACTTCACATTAGGTGAGGTTAATGATGAAATGAAAGAAATGAATTATTTACTATAAAAAAATTATATGGTTGCTAGACTGTTGCATTTCCTTGTGTTGTCAATATGTTTATGTCTATATAAGTGTAAGTGTGTGTGCTGTGTTTCTATATTTATATATCGTAGTTAACTTTACTTACATTTGAAGTCGGTATTATAAGCCTTCCTATTAAATTTGAATTCTTTTAGTTTTTACCTGTAATGTGTCTAAATTTCTAAACATCATACTTAATAACTAACTTCTAATAACTGATTTCTTTTATCGTTTGCCATGATGACAGTACATCATATTTTACTCGATATTTTTCAAGATACTAGTATGATAGTTACATTTAAAGTTACAATTAATAGCTCAAAGTGACATTTAAAGGCTTAACTAGGTTAATTAGACAAGTTATGGTAAGTCATTGTATAACAGCGGTTTGTTCTGTAGACTATCGAAAACGAAATATCGCTTAAGGGGACTAATAATATTATACCTTATATAACATTATAATTAACTATACCTTAAAATGGTTTAAAAAATTTAAAAACAGCTTTTATTCTTGACAAAATAAAACAAATAAGACTTTCTCCAGAAGAAAAAAATATTATAGGAAATAATGTGAAAATGTCCTCAAGTCGTTAAATACCCCAGCAGGCACAAAACGTCAACATGACGTCAAACGTCGTGGGACATTGCATTTTGGGTGGAAATGAAATCGGGTTGTTATCAGAACACAACATCAGACAGACGTCATGTTGGATTTTGATCACTTTCCAACACAACCTGAAAACAGTTAAATATCAACGTCTAATGATGTTACAGCTTGACGTTGTGTAGACGTTAACACTATCTAACAGACATTGTATTTTAATTGCCATACCTGACAAATAAATGTCTGTATTTTACATAGATATGGCGTTAGTTTAAGATGTTTGCTCGACGTTGAATTTTGGTAACTTTCCAACACAACCCTAAATCAACCAAATATCAACGTCTAATGATTTTATAGCTTGACATTGTGTAGATGTAACCACGATGACATCTATCATACGTTTAATTGTAGTTGCTATACCTGGCAATTAAATGTCAGTTTTTCACATCCATATGATTTTGGTTTAAGTTGTTGGCTCGATATTGGATTTTTGTCACTTTTTAACACAACCTAAAATTAATGTTTTTAACATTTGACGTTATGTGGACGTTACCACTATGACGTCTATCAGATGTTGGATTTTGGTTGTTATACCTGACGAATAAATATCAGTATTTGACATCAATATGGCGTTGGTTTAAGATGTTGGCTAGATGTTGAATTTTGGTCACTTTTTAACACAACCTAAAATCAACCAACTATCAACGTTTAATAATGTTACAGCTTGACGTTGTGTGGAAGTTACCACTATGACGTCTATCAGACGTTAGATTTCAGTTGCCATACCTGACAAATAAATGTCAGTATTTCAAGTCAATAAGGTGTTGGTTTTAAATGTTGACTCGATGTTAAATATTCGTCACTTTCCAACACAACCTAAAATCAAACAAATAACAACATCATTGATGTTACAGCTTGACGTTGTTTGTGGATATTACCATTAAGACATTTATCAGACATTGGATTTTAGTTGCCAAACCTGACGAATAAATATCAGTATTTGATGTTAATATGGCGTTGGTTTAAGATGTTGGCTAGATGTTGAATTTTAGTCACTTTCCCACACAACCTAAAATCAACCAAATATCAAAGTTTAATAATGTTACAGCTTGACGTTGTGTGGAAGTTACCACTATGACGTCTATCAGACGTTGGATTTCAGTTGCCATACCTGACAAATAAATGTCAGTATTTCAAGTCAATAAGGTGTTGGTTTTAAATGTTGGCTCGATGTTAAATATTCGTCACTCTCCAACACAACGTAAAATCAACCAAATAACAACATCATTGATGTTACAGCTTGACGTTGTTTGTGGATGTTACCATTAAGACATTTATCAGACATTGGATTTTAGTTGCCAAACCTGATGAATAAATGTCAGTATGTGGTGTCAGTGAGGCGTTGGTTTAAAGGGCACCTATGGTGAAAAATCTACTTTTCAAGCTGTTTGGACATACATGTGTGTATAGTGTATATACTGTCATATTGGGGTGATATAAACACACCCAGTACTTTTTTTTTCAAATTTAACAACATATGGTGGACCAATTGGAGCGGTTTTCAGATCGACCTCAACTTTACGTAGCCCCCGCCCACCAATATTGATTGACAGCTGCGCGCATTAACATGTCTCCATAGTAATGCATATACTCATATCGACAAGACAGGACGATCGCAAAGCGACCGGTAATAAAAGGTCTGTTCAGTTCAGTAAGATCATCAATCATCATCAGACGTGATCAAGAGTGAGTTTTACAGGTTTAACATGTTTTAAAACGTGTGCACGTGTGTAATGAAGTACAGCCAGAATCACTTCAGATTCACTTCATCAGCACAGCCTCGTGTCTCTCTCACTGTCTCTCTGTGTGCGTGTCTGCCTGCGTCTCTACGCTATGTATGTGCGTTTGTGTCTGCGCTACTTGTCTGTGTGTGTGTGTGTGTCTGCCTGCGTCTCTACACTATGTATGTGCATTTTTGTCTACGCTACTTGTCTGTGTGTGTGTGTCTGCCTGCGTCTCTACACTATGTATGTGCGTGTTTGTCTGCGCTAGCCTACTTATCTGTGCTATGTGTGTGTGTGTGTCTGCCTGCGTCTCTATGCTGTGTCTTTGCTGTGCCTGCGTGTCTATGCTGTGTATGCTACGTGTCTGTGCTATTTGTGTGTGTCTGCGTGTCTGCGCTGTGTGTGCGTGAACTTATTGTTGCAACTCCACAAAAAATGCATCAAATACTGATTGGTAAAGTTCTTACTGTAGTATTTTTACAAACGTTACGTGAGATCTGCTTCCTGAGGCAGCCGAGGGCGTGTTGAGGCATGCTGCTGACAGGCACGTGGGATCGGTGGGCGGGGATGACTCGCCTTAAAGGCCCAGTGCAAAAAAACAGCAACAACCTTTTCCCAGCTATAATACAGACACTTCAAACAGCTATAATAAATACTCTGATGGGTGTTTTGAGCTGAAACTTTACAGACACATTCTGGGGACACAAAAGACTTATATCAAATATGAAAAAAGGGGTAACCTATGTGCCCTTTAAAATTTGGCTTGACGTTGAATTTTGGTCACTTTCCAACACAACCTAAAATCAACCAACTATTAACGTCATATTTTTACATCAAAATAACGTTACCTAGACATTGAACTTTGGTCACCTGACATCGCAACCTAAATCTAAAATAATATTATTGTCATATGATGCTGTTTGCCTGCTGGGATCACTTGAGAAATATTTGGAAAATAATAAATATTTTACAGGAGGGCTAAACTAAAAATGTTGCCCATCAACTGTATATTGGCCATATTTATCCACCTATAGGATAGAGGGGGTTTCGAGTTATTGTTATTTTGGGGGCCGTGGGCTGGGAAACCCTGACATAAAGCACCAGTTTCCTTCACTCTCTCTCTTTCTCTCCATCCTCAGATCAGCTGCAAGGTGCTGCACTTCTTCCACATGTACATGCTGGGCTGTAACTATTTCTGGATGCTCTGTGAAGGGATTTACCTGCACACACTGATCGTGGTGGCTGTGTTCGCAGAGGAGCAGCACCTACACTGGTATTATCTTTTGGGCTGGGGTGAGTTTAAACACAGCTCCATCTGTCAGCAATGACCACAATGTAAATATGAACGCCCTCCGTATTTTGCAAAGCGAGAAGCATATCGTGACCTCTTTTCATAGGCAGCTGTTTCATCAGTCTACGCTCCATAATTTATTGGAAACATTTGCTCATGGTCACATCCGCCTGCTCCATAAACACTAAACACTGTCGCCCGGCACAAACACTTGTTTAAAGACGGACAAATCAGCTAATCCACAGTTGGGGCGCAGTGTGCTGGATGTTTGGGGTCATGCTTTATTTCACATTCTGATGCAGATTAGTGTTCTTTTTACTGGCAGTTTTATTATGGCGCTTCATTGGAGATTGGGTCCAACTGTCTTGTTTTGCCTGTACTCAGTGTTAGCAATGACATGGACGAAGAAATTGGGCAAAAAAATCCCTAAATAATAAAGTGTTATTAAAGATTGTGTGATAACCTTGTGCTGGATCATCCATTCCCCAAAGGGATAGAGGACAAGCCTCAACCGTTTAATATGCCTTGTGGCTGAGAATATGCAAAGCTGCTGTAATAAAACCTTATATCATAACATTATGAGAATATTTCACCCAAAAATCATTTTACTAAAAGTCTTTATATTGTAAAGTTTTTTATATTCATACACTACCATTCAGTTTAGAAAAATAAAGATTTTTTAAAGGGTTAAAAAAATAAAATTTTAAAATAAAAATAATTATAAACAAAAATTAATAATTAGTTATTAAAACTGTTTAGAAATGTGTTAAAAAATCTTTCCGTTAAACGGAAATTGGGGAAAAATATACAGTGGGGCTAATAATTGAGAAGTATGACTTCAACTGTATATTTATTTTATATTCATATATATTTCGTTTTTAGTTTTTAGAAAATGTAAAAAAAAAAAAAAAAACTCAAAATCTTCATATATATATATATATATATATATATATATATATATATATATATATATATATATATACATACACACACACATATATACATACATACACACACACACACACACACGCATATTTAATTTGAAAATGGGAAGAATTTTTTATTAAATCTTCATATATATATATATACACACATACATACATACATATATACATACATACACACACACACGCACACGTATATGCGAAATTTCTGACACAGTAAAATTTTTAAAAAAGTTTTGAAAATGGTACAAATATATTTCAAATAATATACAAAGGTGTTAGACAAAACATTTTCAGACGTGGTAAAAATGTATTAATTTAAAATTCAAAAGAATTAACATGAAAAAAGCTCAACATTTTATTTGAAATTAGAAAGAAATGTTATTAAATTAAAAATAAAAAGGGATAAAGAATTGGTTTTAATCATGGTAAAGCTTTTGGACAAATAAAGATTTTTTAAGGCTTAAAAAATAAAATAAATAAATTATATACGTAAAGGTGATAAACCAAAAAAATCAGACATGGTTAAAATGTATACATTTTTAGACAACCCAATACCAATGTTTTAACTTCAGAAATATAATAAATATTTATTTAATGTGAAAATGGTAAGGAATTTTAAACCTTCATATTGAAAAAATCTATACGTTTCGGGGTGTATTGGATGAATCTGTGATTGGAAAGGGGATAAACAATGAAAATGTATTTAGACATGGTAAAACTTTTGGAAAGGTTTTTTTTAAGGTGTTAAAAAGTTAATTAATTAATATATATATATATATATATATATATATATTATATATTATTATTATATAAGGTGATGGACAAAAAAGTTTTAATGTTTGAAGCTAATTGAAAATTCAAATAGACAAAAAGCTTTAAATGAATATATTTAATTTGAAAGTGAGAAGAAATGTTATTAAAACCTTCAATTTAAAAAGATTTTGGATGTTTTAGGGGGGAAAAGGGTAAATTTGTGATTGAAGTAAAATAATAATACACAAACAAAAGAAGTGGTGCTTAAAATTAATTAAAAGTATCACTCAAGACATTTATAATGCTACAAAAAATGCTGTTTATTGAAGATTCCTGAAAAATGTATCAAAGTTTACTTACAAAATAAAATCCAAGAAAAATATGAAGCTATCTTAAATAAAGAAAACCAAATAAATAAAGCTTATTTAAGCAACAATAAAGACTTATTAACATTAATCGAGCACCAAATTAGCGGTTAAGAGTGATTTGCCAAAACAGAATGCACAGATACCTGAAATTATACTGCACTTGCCTTATTAATCGTGTGTTTTTAATCATTCATGACTTACCCATAAAAGATGAAGGTTAAACAAATGTCCGAGCCACACCTTGGCTCACACCTCAAACAAATACACTAAATAAAGCAGCTGAAGGAGCAAAAACATCACAAATGTATTATAAACGTAGCTTTTAAGATTGATGCTCTATTTTCCAAGTCATTTAAAGTTATTAGATAAGTTTAGGTGCGATTCGGATCATTATTCATTGATAATCGTCCACTTCAGAGCTCAACTCCTTTCATATCAAAGACAGTTGTTGATTTAGCCTGTAAATGCAGAGCTTGTTCATCTCTAAGATTTGAAACACTTCAGTAAATCAACGTTTGCATTTTCACATGGCCACGGCTCGCCGTCTAATAACGGTTACACAGTTATCATTCATTTTGCATTAGAGCTACAACATTTCTTTTGACTAATATCTCAATTCTCCTTTCAACAGGATTCCCCCTGGTGCCTGCATCCATCCATGCTGTGGCGAGGAAGAAATACTTTGATGACAAGTGAGTAATGTTCAGTGTTTTTCAGCAGTAAATACTGAAGACAGGCCAGGTTTGGTGGACAGTACCTCTGATATGGGATTTATTATATTTTTCCACTAGCTGCTGGATGAGTGTGGAGACGCATCTGCTCTACGTGGTTCACGGCCCCATTATGGCAGCTTTATTAGTGAGTCAGCGTCTTTTACATGTGCTTTGTTTTCAATTAAAGGATCCTATTATGCATTTGATATTTTTAACTTCCTTTTGTAAGTTGCTGAGCATGAAAAAGATCTGCACAGTTACGAATTTGTATGTTGCAATGTTATTTGCGAAAATGCAAACTCTCCCAGACACCTCCGTAGGGTATATGCCGAGCTAGTGCTGTTCCCATGCTCATACACTTCCGGTGACCTGTTATTGTTATTAACTGTTACTGTTATTAACTTTTTTCCATTTTATACAGTTCCTTATACAGCATCGATGTTGTAATGTCATTAAAATACATTCAGTTAAATAAACTTTAGCATTTATTTAGTTGCTCAAGCGTAAAACGAGACAAAAAGCTGTTTACTCGCACGCGCCCGTCAGAATCGGCAGGCTAACGCAGAAGCTCCATTGAATATACTGGGGTAAAATAAATGCTCATATTATAAATATATGGCGGGGGAAATGTAATTTAATGCACTGCTTCTCGTACAATCTGAGACCCACTTTAAATCGGATATCACTCAGCTAGTGGAGATCGCTGATTTTTTAAGAAAACAGACCTTAAACGCACCGGATTTTGCATTGGCATTCAATTCGCCGGAAGCGCTTAACCCAGGTTACTGGCAAATTAAAAGTCCTATTAGCATGCTTCGGCATATACCCCATTGTTTTACAAAATATCACAGTATCTTACACTGAAAAACAGATTTATTGGATTAATTTAATTTACTTTTAAGCTAAGTGGTTGCAAACAATTTACATGGGCTGAATTTAAAGGGCACCTATTTTACCTCTTTTTCAAGATTTAAGACAAGTCTTTTGTGTCTCCAAAATATGTCTGTAAAGTTTCAGCTCAAAACACCAGATTTTTTATTTTACCTTATTGGAGTATTGGAATTTTCAGCCTTAACCACGGTGTAGCTGTTTTTGTTGCCTGTGCCTTTAATGCAATTGAGCTACTTCTCCCCGCCCACCATGCCTACGCGTCAGATAGACAGCACAGTGACAGACATGAAGCAGATTTCGTGTAACGTTTGTGAGAAATACTACAGAAAGAACTTTCCCAATGATTATTTGATGTATTTGTTGTGGAGTTAATTCAAGCCTTTCTGCAACGATGAGTCACACACAAAGTTGTTACAAAGTTTACGCACATACACACAGCATGCACGCTTTTAACTTTGCACTTTTTTGCATTGCAAATGTGACAGGATATATATATGTTAATATACACTGCCTTGTGGACATCCGTCATGTTAATGTACAAAATAAACCTGATTTAACGTCCACAAAGCAGAATTAAATCATCTCCTTTTATAATTATACTGACATCTGGTTGTGGTGATGAATTATGGTGATTTTACTGTCTTTACCACAAACATGCACGGTTTTAAAACTGTTTTAAACTCGTAAAAGTCATTCTTGAGGTGCAGATGATCACAGAGAGCTCAACAGATCTTATATGTATAGATCTTTGCGCCTGTCCTGTCTTGTTGATATGATTATATGCGTTACTACGAAGACATATTAATACATGGCTGTCAATTAATTCCATGGGCGAGGATACCTCACTCCTGTCACGTTGAGTTGGGCCTCAAAACGGGAGGGATTTGCTAATATCCTATTTTATCGTCAGGGACATATTGCCTTATATCACCCTAATATGTCTGTGGACACACAATGAAAATACCTACACACAGTTCTGTCCAAAGAAGCTTCCAAAAGATGAATTTTCACCATTGGTTCTCCTTATACAAACAAATTAAATGTAGTAATGTTCAACTTAATTTTTTGGTTTAAATTCAGCCCATATAATTTGTTTGCAACTATTTACCTTAAAAAGATTTTGTAAATCCGATAATTTTTTTTTTCTTCATGTAATAACATGTGGTGTCTTATCTAATTGTTTAAATTCACAAATATAGCTAACATCGTCAACTTGTTTAAATGTTATAAAGTATGGGAGTGCATTCTTGGTGTGTACACTTGTATATTAGAGCATATCAGGTCTTTAAACTGAGAATACTTTAAAGGGGAACTAGAATGCCTCTTTTTAAAAGATGTAAAATGTAGAAGTCTCTGATGTTCCAAGAGTGTGTATGTGAAGTTTCCCACAGATAATGTTTTATATCTCTTTGAAACTGCCCCTTTTAGGCTTTGATCATAATTGCGTAGTTTTAGTGACTGTCGCTTTAAATTCAAATGAGATTGTGCTCTTTTCAAAAGAGGATGGAGCTACAAATGCGTCAGCATAGTAGCAGATTCAAAAACAAGACTAACGCCTTATGCTAATGATGGAAAGCTCGTCACTTATGGGCTTTCCCACTTTTTCCTGCTCACAGAGTGTTTCTGCAGACTTTTTATGAAGCGTAACCATAAAAAAAATCTAACTAATGAATTTTTACTATTAAAATCTGGTAATATTCAGTGTTAAATCCCTTATAAAAACAAATTTTGCATAATAGGTCCCCTTTATTAATTTTATTGTTGGTCTACCTGAGGCACATGCTGTTAAGGCTCCCCCTATACTAAAAAAGGGGGCAGGAGCAGCAGCTCATTTGCATTTAAAGGGACACACAAAAAGTGATTTTGCTTGCACCTAAAAATTTGCCTTTTTTTGGCTATTTGACAAAGATTTGATATATTTTGAGCTGAAACTGCACAGACACATACTGTATATATGTGACACAAGTTTTTACACCTCGTAAAAGCATAATAGGACCTGCACTGCATGTTAAAGGGATGGTGCACGCAAAACTGTAAATTCCCTCATCATTTACTCATTCTTGACTAATTTAAAACCTTTATGAGTTTGCTCCATTTGTTGAACACAAAAGAAGATATTTTGAAAAATGCTGAAAACCTGTACTTCCATAGCATTTGTTTTCCTACTATGGAAGTCAATGGTTACAGGATTGCAGCTTCTCCTTAATATATCTTCTTTTGTGTTTAACAGAAGAACGAAACTCTTAAAGGTTTGCAACAAGTAAATTTCATTTTTGGTACCTTTTTATTTTTGGGTGACCTATCCTTTTAAAACTGCGTTTATCGTCTATTTGGCTGATATAATAAACACAAAATCTTGAGCGTGTTTAATGTGGAGGAAGACTTTTAATGCAATGTTACGTTCCAAGTGCTGCAAGTGACAAATGTTGCATTTAACATCGCATTAGAGTGCTTTCTGTTCACATCGGATTATTGAGTCAATGATTCTGTTCATTCACAGTTAATCAAGCTTAATTGTGATAACTCGGTGTGAAATTAAAATCTAAATAGAGCATGTTGGAGAAATGCTATTTGTAGTTTATTTGTTTGTGTTTTTTTATGTTATAGGTCAATTTATTTTTTCTACTGAACATAGTACGGGTTTTGGTGACTAAACTGAGAGATACGCACCGAGCGGAGTCTAACATGTACATGAAGGCAGTGAGAGCCACTCTCATTCTGGTGCCCTTATTGGGCATTCAGTTCGTCATTATCCCTTGGCGACCGGAGAACCGCTTGGCGGGAGAGATATATGATTACATCATGCACATATTAATGCACTACCAGGTAACCCAGACTGAATGTTAACTCTTACTATACTTGTGAAGGACAGCTCAAAGTCATTGATCATGCTTGCGTGTTTTCTGTTTCATAAGGGTCTGCTGGTGGCAACCATATTCTGCTTTTTCAACGGAGAGGTAAGCAGATGGATATTTCCTCCAAAAACGCTAACTCTATTTATTGTTCAAGTGATAGTTCACAAAAAGGTCACACACTTGTTTCAAACCTTTATAAGTTTCTTTCTTCTGTTTGTTGAACACAAAAGAAGATATTATATATGATATCCACCATATATTTTTCATATGGTGGATATCAGTGATTTCAGGTTTTCAGACTTGAGGGTGAATAAATAGTAAACCTTTTTTTGGGGGGTGAACTATCCCTTTAAGTTCTAATATTAATATTATATATTTTCCATGGAAAACTCTAACAGATGTAATATACACTCACCGGCCACTTTATTAGGTACACCTTACTACTTTAGTTCCAGGTTGGACCCACTCTTGCCTTTAGAACTGCCTTAATCCTTCGTGGCATAGATTCAACGGTGTACTGAAAATATCCCTCCGAGATTTTGGTCCATATTTACATGATAGCATCACACAGTTGCTGCAGATTTGTCAGCTGCACATTCATGATGCAAATCTCCTGTTCCACCACATCCCAAAGGTGCTCTATTGGATTGAGATCTGGTGACTGTGGAGGCCATTTGAGTACAGTGAACTCATTGTCATATTCAAGAAACCAGTTTGAGATGATTTGTGCTTTATGACATGGATGGTGTGTTAGCCATCAGAAGATGCTTTCATGTTGTTGACGCCAAATTCTGACCCTACCATCTGAATGTCGCAACAGAAATCGATACTTATCAGTCCAGGCAACGTTTTTCCAATCTTCTATTGTCAAATTTTGGTGAGCCTGTGCGAATTGTGGTCTCAGTTTCCTGTTCTTAGCTTAATGGAGTGGCACTTGGTGTGCTCTTCTGTGCTGTAGCCCATCTGCCTCAAGGTTGGACGTGTTGTGCATTTAGAGATGCTCTTCTGCATACCTCGGTTGTAACGAGTGGTTATTTGAGTTACTGTTACCTTTCAATCAGCTGCAACCAGTCTGTCCATTCTCCTCTGAACGGCATCAACAAGGCATTTGCACCCACAAAACTGCCGCCCACTAGATATTTTCTCTTTTGAGACCATTCTCTGTAAACCCTAGAGATGGTTGTGCGTGAAAATCTCAGTAGATCAGCAGTTTCTGAAATACTCAGACCAGCCCGTCTACCACCAACAACCATGCCACATTCAAAGTCAATTAAATCCCCTTTCTTCCCCATTCTGATGCTTGGTTTGAACTGCAGCAGATCGTCTAGACCAGGGGTGGTCAACCATGTTCCTGGAGAGCCACCTTCCTGCAGATTTCAGTTGCAACCCATATCAAACACACCTGCCTGTAATTATCACAAGGTGTTCAGGTCCTAATTAATTGGTTCAGGTGTGTTTGATATGGGTAGCAACTGAAATCTACAGGAAGGTGGCTCTCCAGGAACAGGGTTGCCCCCCCCCCCCCCCCCCCAGTCTAGACCATGTCTACATGCCTAAATGCATTGAGTTGCCGCCATGTGGTTGCCTGATTAGAAATTTGCATTAATGAGCAGTTGGACAGGTGTACCTAATAAAGTGGCCGGTGAATGTATTTGCATTGGTGAATTGCTAGGCGCACATGAGCTGCACCCAAACATGATCTGCCAGTTTGAATGTTGAAATCAGGAGTCACATTTAAGACAGATAATCAGTTTTAGCAGGAAAAAAACACCTTGAAACTCTGCATTCGGGGTCCGAAAATTAACAGAAGAATGCTGGGAAAATTAACAAAAATTCAATATTTACATTTAATCTGAACTTTCACAGCTGTTGACATTAAAAATGAGAAAATGAATGAAAAGTGCCAATTCGATGTGTATCAGATTATATTTGCAGCACTGAGACCTTTTAACCAATCACACACATTTCTGTTGACCTGATGATTGCAGTAGCCAATCAGAGTCATTAAGATTGGTAACCAATAATACTTTTATTGAATGCCCATTCTTACTTAATGAATTTTACCAGCTCACAAACTCTCTGATCATAAAAAATAAGGTGCTGAAATGATGCAAATAAGATAGATGGATAGATGGGATATTGCTTTTATTCTTCCTGTCATGGTTATAGTTATCATCACCCATGGAGTGAAAAACTATGTCAAATGGGTCTATATTCAAGCAGAATCACCCCTGTGTGAAGGACGTGACCTTTGGGATAGTTTGACATTTTGTCAAAACGGCAGAATGCTAGTGGCTGGTGTTCAGGAAGTCATTCAGGCGTTCAGACGGTTTCTGGTTGAATACCTGGCCATGTTGTGCAACTGACACATCGATTCAGCCATGCTTGATGTCACTTCCCTCAATGATCTGTCAGGAAGCGCTCATGATATGCTTTTAAGGACATTTTGAAGACAACAGCAGACAGTGACCATCTATTGACCTTATCCTTCACATACAAGCGGGCACAGCCATTGAAATTTTTTTGGCTTGAGACTTCCGGTTTCATTTACTTCCATTGATTTCTAGACATTAAAAACAGCTTGTTATGCTGCTTGATGTTGCAAACTGATACTTTCTTATTGTGTCATTCTACTTTTTATGTATAGTCATGAACATGAATTGTTTGTAGTTGTTTGTCTGTTTAACCTTGCTGTTTATTATTCCTAATCATTTCTCCCATAGGCAATTTCTAAAACGATCGCAAAAACATGCGCGCTTCCACATGGTACAATTAACTTTTTTTTATAACAGAAAATTCAGTTCAACATGTAATATTTGGGTATTTGAATTGCACATTCTGTGCAGTTGTGGATTGCATAACTGTAACACAAGCCAATAAACTTAACGCATTTGTTATTCAGATATGAAAAGGTAATAAACAGACAAGATTTCTGTGATGATCCTAAAAAATGCACAATAATCAGGCTTATATTTATCATTATGCATTATATTTAAACTATTTTAATACTTAAACTGAATAACTGTCATTCATGTAATAGTGAAGGTTTTTATTTTTTTTCTCAGAATTTAAACAATTTATGTAAATGCATTTGAATGCAAAAAATAAAGCAAACAGTTAGCATTGAAAAAAACAGCAATAAATAAATAATAAATAAATAAAATAAAATGTTTTTGTCTGATAAATTTACATGAAATTACGAATTTATTTTAAACCTATTCAACTCACATAGATAAATCGTCAGCTTGGAATTATAAGGTTCTATCTGTGTTCTGAATGATTTTGAGATATTTAGCTTCAAAGTTTTTGCATTCCATAGCAAACAGTATGTGTGTAACATTTGTTTTTTAAATAAAGTCTTAAAATGTAAACAACCGTAAACAAAAAAACATCCCATAATGCAAACAAGTTGTCATTTGATAAGAATATGTCAATAACTCAATTTTGACCAAAATGTCAGCTAGAACCTTATAATTCTAAGGTGACAAAATGTTTCCACAAAAGAATAAAATAAATACTTTTTAAATCATTTAATCGTGGGAATAAATCTAAAATTCTGATATATTTTCACAAAATTATCTCACAGATTTAACTTTAAACTGATAAATCATAACTAAAGCAAAACATCAGATTTGCAAGATGTTATCTGAGCATTCTGAGAAAAACTCGCCTCGAAAAGAAGTTTGCTGGTTCGAGTCCTGGCTGGACCATTTGATATTTCTGTGTGGAGTTGGCATGTTCTCCCTGTGTTAGCGTGGGTTTCCCCCACAGTCCAAAGACATGCATTATAGGTGAATTGAATAAACTAAATTGGCCATAGTGTATGAGTGTGTGTGCGAATGTAAGAGTTTATGAGTGTTTCCCAGTACTGGGTTGTAGCTAGATGGGCATCAGCTGTGTAAGACATATGCAATAGTTGGCGATTCATTCCGCTGTGGTGACCTGATAAATAAGGGACTAAGCCGAAGAAAAATAAATAAATATATATATATATATATATATATATATATATATATATATATAGTACAGTTTGGCATACTATATACGTAAATTATATATACAGTTGAAGTCAGAATTATTAGCCCCCCTGAATTATTATCACATTTTTAAACATAATAGTTTTAATAACTCATCTATAAAATTTGATTTATTTTATCTTTGCCATGATGACAGTAAATAATATTTGACTAGATATTTTTCAAGACACTTCTATACAGCTTAAAGTGGCATTTAAAGGCTTAACTAGGTTACTAGGCAGGTTAGGGTAATTAGTCAAGATGATGTACAACGATGGTTTGTTCTGTAGACTATCGGAAAAAAATAGTTTAAAGGGGCTAATAATTTTGTCCCGAAAATGTTTTTTAAAAATTTAAAAACTGATTTTATTCTAGCCAAAATAAAAATAAAAATTCAAAGGGGGCTTTGGTTAGTAATAAGCACTATCCTTGTTGCGATGTACAGACATTGCTATAAATTTCTCACTGACTGGTTATAGTCGCAGAGAATGCAACGTTTTGTACATCATGCAATTCAGAGAACGTTTTATGTGAAAGCCAGATTGGCTTACGAAGTGAGGGGGTGCATGAAAAAGGTAATACGTGGCAATAACTACCAACAAGCACGTCAAAGTGCATTTAGCAGACTTGAGGAAAACAGACTTGGAGCACATATGCATGACAAAACCAAAACAAAGAAGGCACAGTTTCATTAGAATGCTCAGCATGAGGCTCCTGGCTCTAACTTGAATGGAATGAATTAACGCCTTTCATTGGTCTATGTGTAAGTCATGTTTTAAACATGCTGAATTATTTCTGGGCCTGGAAAATGGGTCAGTTATTAGCTTATGCATGAGCAGGCCGCTCGCATCAGCATCAGCGCGTCTACCAACTATTTAGATGTGTCCTAAGCACAGATCCAGTTTCAGGACAATAAAAGGGCCACTGACACAGAATAATATTTGCTTTGTGGCGATGTTTGTTTACCTCCCCCTGTGCCCCCGTCTCCTTCAGATTTGTGCCTGATCCAATATCCTCCTTTGTTTGGTGTTAAAAATACCCAGAGCGGTAATTGGCACATTAAAATCGGTTATAATAATATAATAGAGTCATATAATTCCCACACATGCACTGCTGAGGAAGTTTAAAACTAACATTTAAAACTGCAAGTATGAGTACTCAATTAAAAAGTAACTTCTAGTTTTTTACCTTTAATGTTGCTGTTTTTGTGAATGTACAATGTCTGCAAAGTTTTAAAGATCAGTGTGCATGATAACGAGTTATAGGTCAACTTTTTCGGTAATGTTAGTTTTTGTATTAGATGCTTCAGTGAATTAAATGTATTTATTTAAACGACATCTCATTTTTTAATAAAACGTATTAAGTTTTTCAGTGTTTTGAGGCACACTGACCAACAGCTACCTATGATGAGCTATTTTAGAGTTTACTTTAAGTAAAACTATCAAAAACTATGCATCTAATTTGACGACTTTTAGACCTGGAGTGTCCAAACTCGGTCCTGGAGGGCCGGTGTCCTGCAGATTTTAGCTCCAACTTGCCTCAACACACCTGCACGGATGTTTCTAGAAAGCCTAGTAAGAGCTTGATTAGCTAGCCCAGGTGCATCTGATTGGGGTTGAAACTAAACTTTGCAGGACACCGGCCCTCCAGAACTGAGTTTGAGCACCGTTGTTTTAGGCCGTACTCACAATATGTACAGTTGCCTCAAACCGGGTCCAAAGCACGCTTGTCCCACTCCCGTCTCCCCCGAAGGCCCGCACTCACATTACAATCGAGCCTGGGCACGCTTACGTCATCGATGCTGCGCTGTTCAGTAAGCGCTCTCGCTCAGCACAGTGGAGATTTCTCTAGTTATACTGTTTAAGTCGTTTGATATGCAGTGACATGTAGTCAAATATTTCGCTGAACAGTCCTTAGGGATGCGGTGACACACAGTCAGATATTTCGCCAAACAGATCCGCCACTTTTGGCACTCACAAACAATCATAAAGCCCTCATGCAGCAGGAGTGAGGAGGTTTGCTGAAGGTGCGCAGCTGTCGTGCAATGAGTGGTTTGCGTCATTAATAAACTACGGCAGTTTGCGTTCACTGAACAGTAATATTGATTAATAAATCCATATGAAACAGTCCCTTAAAAGTCACGTCTTGCTTTCAGTTTCGGGCTTTGGCGCATTTTGCACTCACACTACAAGTGTACCATGCCAAAGCCAAGTGAACCGCGCTCTGGCCCACCTCTTCCAACCAGGCCAGGGCCAGCCAAGTGAACTGTGCCTGAGCCCGATTCAGCGCACTCACACTTCTCAAACAATCCGGGAAATGGGCCTGGGCACGGTTCGGATAACATGGTGTGAGTACACATTAAGACTATATCAACTGTAGATACAAACACCTATTTTACAAGAAAAGTGCCTTTTGAAAACTTATGATGTCTATCGGTGCTCTAGATCTACAATATTTTTTTCTCACATAGACTGATTGGCCCGATTATGCATTCACAATGGTATGCACCATTATAAAAGTGGTCAAATGCATATTTAAATTATGCATTATTTTAATTATTAATATTATTATTTAAGATACAGATCAGAGAAAACTATTTCTCACTATACGCTTATTTCACGTGGCCGCCATTTTAAAGAACCAAAGCGAGGCTGCGGTGGGAAGAAACCCAGAAATATAGGACCAGCACTGAAAACATTGCAGTAACATGCAGTGGACTGTAAACCTCCAGCTGTTGCCGAGATTTCAAAATGCAGAAATGGTGTAAACATCACTTTAATATCATTCAGTTCAGTTTAATTTAAACAATTAAAAGCAATTTAGCATCAAACAACATCACAATCTCTTTAAGAGTAATATGCTCAAGTGTCCTCCTAGGTTTCAGTTCATGGCACCAGTTAAACACTGTGGGGACGCTTCCTGCTTCACTCTATGTAACCCGGTGAGCGATAAAACACTGCAGTCCTCTGTAGCACACCCTCGTGTTGTCTGTAATAGTGTTGTCCCGGTACTGAAGTTTAAAAAAACGCCCATTTCCTGCTAGCATTCAAGCGCCACTGAGTGCGTTCCTAATTTAGTTCACCCAATTCACCAACAGCACATGTCTTTGGACTAGGAGGGAAACCGGAGCACCCAGAGGAAACTCACGTGAAAACAAGGAGAACATGCAAACTCCAAATTCTTTTACATGATATATAAAATTCAAGTATTTTAAATGGATTCGTTTTGCTTTACAGGTCCAGGGAGCTTTGAAAAGGCAGTGGATGCAATATAAAGCGCAGTGGGGTCAGAGACGGCGTGAACACTGCTCCATGAGATCTACATCCTACACCGCAACCTCCATCACTGAGGTGCCTGCGTTCATGTTTCACCACGACTGCAACAGCGAACACTTGAACGGTAAACAAACAGAGGACTCCGAGCTCGTGGCTCTCAAGACGGGCGAAACGTACGCGTGAACAAAACAGATAATACTAGGAAAAGAAGTGATTCAATCAAACCAGAGACGGCAGACTCCTTTCTGACTGAACGTTCGTAAACTCCCCCATCTCAGCACTTAGAGAGCCGACAGCAGAACATTCACAGTCTGCGTGTTGGCAAATCTGTTGAAATATTACACCAGGCTTTGTTTATACTCTCTGCAGCTCTGCTTCTGTGAGGGAAAATGCAAAGGAAATCTGAAAAATAATGACTTTTCGGAAAATATGTCATTTTAAAGCTGCTAGTTTTCACATCCTTTTGGGGTCTGTGGCCGCAAACAAACAAAAAAAGTTACTTTGCAAAAACCAAAGGATGTGCGGATTTGTGGGACTCCGAGACTGTTTCGCTACAGCTACTGGGAAATGGTTCTCTAGAGGACAAGCTTCGCTCATGCGTCTGCGTCTCTGAACAAAGGAAAGTTCTTCTGTGCCTGAATCCTGTTCCCGATGCCGTTTGATGGTCATTTCGCATCTGAAAATAGCTTTTTATCTGTGTTGCAAGATTTTTATGACTGCTTTATTGTTTTTGCAGCTGTGCTTTTCTGCCTTTTCTTTGTCTTGAGAGCGGGTGTGGAGGGAAAGGATGAACAACGTGGACCATTTAAAAGGTGAATTCATAAACCTGTGCATAAAATGTATTCTGTTAACAAAAGAAAAAGATACAAAAATATATTTAATAAGCGCTTGTGGTTCAGAGTGCAGATTGTATTTGTCAAGTCAGATTATTTCAGTATTTTTGGAGTGCTGCTTCACCAGTAAGTGCATTTCCTCTCTGCAACCAAAATACACACGTGAACGCACCAAATTCACCTCACGTATTCAACTATAGCGATCAATAGTCCACATTTCCTCACTGGCTTTTGTTTGCCAGCAAATTACTTGTGGGACTGACTCATTCAAGCTGAAGAAATGGCGTAATGACAATAAACCAACACTTTAGCCTTATTGATTCTGATATAAATAGTATATTTATAGCTTAAACTGCACACACAGACACACATTTGCATGCATATATATTAGTTCTCCTGTTAATTTATTTATTGTTGAATATTTTTCAAGTGCTGTTTAACAGAACTAATTAATAGTTATAAGTAATTTCTAATAACCCTTTTTATTTGTCATGATGACAGTACATAATATATATATATATATATATATATATATATATATATATATAGCCTGATCTCACGAGAAAACGTAAGTATTTTACGTTTTGGCAGTTTAGTGGCTAATTCGTACAAATTTGTACGAGTTCAGTCGTAAAAAAATGTACGATTTTAAAAAGGAGGCGTGGCACCTAACCCCACCCCTAAACCCAACCGTCATTGGGGGATACGCAAATCGTACAAAAATGTACGAATTAGATCGTACGAATTTGTACGAATTAGCCACTAAATGAAAAAGTTACGAATTGCCGTGAGATTGTGTTGATATATTATGTACTGTCATCAGTACATATGTGTATATATATATATAAATATATATAAATATATATATATATATATATATATATATATATATATATATATATATAAAATATATGTATATATAGGAAATGCTGTGAAAATTTCCTAGATTTATTAAACAGATCATGAGAAATATTTAAAAACATTAAAATTTCACTGGAGGGCTAATCATTTTGCGCACACTCTTACACATATAGACTCATGCACTACCATTCAGAAGTGTGTGGTCAGTAAGATTTAAAGTTTATTAAATTATTACATTATTTTTAGAACGAATTATATAAAGAGACTGTAAAATGTGTATAGTGCTGTATTTTTAATTTTTAAACAAATGTGGTCCCTTTTATTCATCAAAGATTCTAAAAAATATATATATTTAAAATATAAAATAAAAAGGCAATTCATAGCAATTACTAACAATTTGTGCCAGTCTGAACATAATTTTTCCATTTAAAAATGCTAATTTACTTAAAAGTCCCGTGAAGTACTTTGAAATGTCAAACATCGAATTCTCTATTCGATGTTTGACGTAATTTTAACTTAAAAATGAAGAGAGGGTGGAACATAGATCAATTCCTCCCCTTTAAAAGAACAGTCAGTAGCGTATTGTTTTTCTCACAGCTCCACCGGTGAGAGTGGATGAGCACAAGGGGATCAATTGAAAAGCATCTTTAGGGGGCGAGGCATGTCAGATACTACACTGCATTTGATTGGTCAGAAGATTTGATGAGAAACTGAAGTATGAGGTGATGTGAAAAAACCATTGATCCTTTTAGGTGGAAATGACAAACTGTAAGATTTGGGTGTTAATATCCATTTTATATCCTCAAAATGTAAATGTCACTATTTTGGAGCACACAAGCAAATAGATATACTTAAAACTAACAGACTGAAACTAACATAAAAAAAATGTTTTATTTTTTTTGACTGGACCTTTAAGACACGCAGTGAAAAATCACGTAAAACACACAATTGTAAGTTTTTACAAACACTAAAGCAGAGTATTAGAACTATAATCTATATTAGCATGTACATAAGAAAACAATATCATTCAGTTTATTATAAGTTTCCAACTATTTTGTAATCTGCTAATATTAACCCTTGATCTCTTTAAAAGCAGGATGGATTCTGATTGGCTGTCGATATTTTAAAACATCTTACTGACTGCAAGCTTTTGCACTGGTGGTGATGTTACATCCAGACACACATTTGCAGATGGATTTTTATAATCAAAGCAACTCATCATGTTGCTATGCCTGAAGACATACTATTTGATTTATGAAAGCAAATGTAGAGCAGACATATTCATGAGTGTATCGACTAAACAACTGTGAGGAAAGCAAGAGGAAAAAAAAAAAATCACCTCACAGATATTAAACGCACACTATAAATCTATCAATTACTGCTTAATGAGAGTCAAACACTTTCAATGACATGCAAAAATCAATTCACAATTATAGGAATGCTAACATTTGCTAGCAACGTGAACTTGTTCATCCAATACAAAGACACTCTGGACACAAGCTTGTGGTTTATTTCTGTATGAAATGTTTATTTTTTGTATTACTTGGGACTACGACACTGTATTTTTATTTAAAAGAGATGTTAAGCTGTACATAGTGTGTTGTGTTTCAACGGGTTTGAGGTGAAATTGTGAACGTTTTTTCATTGTGAGTTGTGTCAGTATCCTGGACGTGGTATTTGCCATGTAATTGTTTTAGTCTAACGTGAAACTGATTTATCACAGTGTACTTACAGTCAGTCATTAAGCTCAGTTGAGCTACAGTTCTTATCAGTTTGAAGTCAAAAAAGCTACATTTCTCGCTCATGTTTTAAAGTGTCTTTTGTTGGAGATGCCACAGGAAAAACTATTGTAATTTTAGAAAACAAAAACAATATTTTGTCACCTCTTTGGAGTCATATCCATGTGTACAAACTCAACATGCCTCTACATTGTACATAAAATGAAATTTGATGGCTTGTATTTAATACTTTTTTCCTGCGACTCGGCTTATATTTTTACATACAAATACATAGGGCCAGGTTTACTAACAGATTGCACCAAAGCGAACACATAATCAATGTAAACAATAAAGCAAAATGGCTGCCAGGTCCATTCAATGTAAACCCTAAAGATGGTTGTGCGTGAAAATCCCAGTAGATCAGCATTTTCTGAAATACTCAGACCAGCCCGTCTGGCACTAACAACCATGCCACATTCAAAGACATTTCAATCACCTTTCTTTGACATTCTGATGCTTGGTTTAAACTGGAGCAGATCATCTTGACCATGTCTACCTAAATGCATTGAGTTGCTGCCATGTGATTGGCTGATTAGAAATTTGTGTTTAAGTGCAGTAGGACAGGTGTACCTAATAAAGTGGCCGGCGAGTGTATAACACATATTTTGTGCAACTTTGTAATGGAAATGCAGCCATTGCCGAGTAGATCATCTGCAGAACTTGCCCTATTTAGTAAATCAGAAATCACAAGCACACATCCCAAAATATCTTCTAAAGAAAGAGGCATACCGCTCTTACTCAATTGGCGGAGCAGCAGGAGCAGGCGTTTGAGTGTGAAGGTTTAATCACATTGAGTGTAATGGAGTTGTAGTTTGATCTGGCCCAGGGCTGTGGAAGCAGAGGCAGCAGATGAAGATATTTCTGGCCCAGCCGGTGTCACATTCACTCAACATCAGTCTCCACAGGTGCAGCACTGACAAATGACCTCTGTGTGGCCATAAAAACACCTCGAACATTACACTCATTCTGATAAACACGGCCATAAAAACACCTCCAACGTTACTCTCGTTCTGATAAACACACTCGGATTTAATGTTCCCTTGTTAAGATATTTAGGACGGTGAAAATTTGGACGCATGAGAAAATAAGCATGCAAGGATCATTTTGGATAATCCAGAAATTTTGCAGGTCATTTTTACTTATTTTCCAGCCTAAAATGACTCATTTGTAATGGCTTTTCTTAAAAATGATGCCAATATTTACTTTAATTCTTGTGGTTTACTGTGAAAATAAACAGTTTTATCTCAAGAATTATTGGACTGACAAAATCCTGAGGAAATTAATCTATTCTGCTTTTTAAATAGACATTTGTACATCAGATACTTCTGTTGTCATTATGAAATTTAATGTGTATTATTGAATTTAAAGGGATAGTTCAGATGTAAATGTAAACTATTTAGTCACCTTGATACATTTCTTTCATCAGTTGAACACAAAAGTTAGACATTTTAAAGCATATTTGTAAACAGTAACTATTGCCTTACAAAGTATTCCATAGTTATCCGGTTATGAAAGTCAACGGCTCCCAGTTTCCAACATTCCTCAAAATATATTAGTAAATTTGTCATTTTTGGGTGAACTATCCCTTTAAGCCCACCCGATTCAGACTGAGCATAAGACACACATACATAAAATCTATACATACTGTATATACATACAACTGTCATGTTTTTTCATTAGTATGCTTAATTTTTTAAGAACTTCTGCAACACATGCTTCAATATTTATTTCATTCTGTTACTTTGTGGATCATTATAGTTTTTGTAACAACTATGCCTTTAAGATTCAGACCGGTCAGTATTATGCCTTGAAAAACTATATGAATATCTCATTTTGATCATGTTTTATTTTAAACATGAAGTATCCAGCATTGATTCTGAAAATCAATTGACTTTTCTATCAGAGTTTCATTTTCTACTGTTTGATCAGCAGTTCCAGTCAGATATATACTTACACTTACCGGCCACTTTATTAGGTACACCTTTCCAACTGTTTGTTAACGCTAATTTCTAATCAGTCAATCACATATATGGCAGCAACTCAATGCATTTAGGCATGTAGACATGATCAAGACGATCTGCCGCAGTTCAAACCGAGCATCAGAATGAGGAAGAAAGGTGATTGAAGTGACTTTGAAAGTTGCATGGATGTTGGTCTGAGTATTTCAGAATCTGCTGATCTACTGGGATTTTCACTCACAAACAGAACAGAGGAGAATGACCAGACCGGTTCCAGCTGATAGAAAGGCAACAGCAACTCAAATAACCACTCGTTACAACTGAGGTATGCAGAAGAGCATCTCTGAATGCACAATACATCAAACCTTGAGGCGGATGGGCTACAGCAGCAGAAAACCACACCTGTCAGCTAAGTACAGGAAACAGCCTACAATTTACACAGGCTGACCAAAAATGGACAATAGAAGATTGGAAAACTGTTGCCTGGTCTCATGAGTCTCGATTTCTACTGCAACATTTGGATGGTAGGGTCAGAATTTGGCGTCTGCAACATGAAAGCATGGATCCTTCTTGCTTTGTATCAACGGTTCAGTCTGATGGTGATGGTGTAATGGCGTGGGGGATATTTTCTTGGCACACTTTGGGCCCATTAATATCAATTAAGCATTATGTTGCTGACCATGTCCATCTCTTTATGACCCCAAGAAGATATTTTGAAGAATGCTGGTTGCTGACACCCATCAACTTCTATAGAAGGGGAAAAATTACTATGGAAGTCAATGGGCTCAGTTACCAGCATTTGTTTTTAAATGTGTTCAACAGAAGAAACTCAAACATGGTTCGAACAAGTGAAGGGGGAATAAATGATGAACTAATTAAATTTAATTGGGTGAACTATCACTTTAAGCCCTTAAAATAAACCAACACTATCTCACGGCAATTTGTAACTATGATTTTGTTTTGCTAATTTGTATGAATTTGTACGATCTTATTTGTACAATTTAGTATGATTTGCTCATCCACCAATTGGGTTTAGGGGCGGGGTTTGGTGCCATGCCTCCTTTTTAAAATCGAACATTTTCATACGACTGAACTTGTACAAAAGCGTACGAATTAGCCACTAAACTGACAAAATGTAAAATACTTACATTACCTCGTGAGATCAGGCTGAATCAACACATGCTTGTTTCAGTAGACTTTAGACTGATCAAACCTCAACACATTGTCTGCATTCAGCACAAACACTGCTCAGAATAATATTTAGTCTCATTTAGTAAAATGGCACATAATCACAGGCGTACACAAAACACTCTACACAACATGACAACTGAAAGCGTTTGATTCAGCTTTTCTCCAGCCGCTTGCATCGCTTTCATCTCTTTGTGCTAGAGACAATGACGGCGGATTCAGATTCATCTTTAACACTGCTGATTGTATCATCGCATAATAACTGAGCAATCTGTTATGAAATATGAAAGAGAATCACCCAGAGCAGCTGTGTGAACATAGATGTACAATTATCATTCATAATAAAATCATTGCAAAAAAAACATCAAACGTCAGTGGTCCTGCTGTGTTGAGTAGATTCAGTTTTTAAATAAATAAATTTGTTAAATAATATGATTATGGTCTGCCCCATCTATGTATTATTATGAACACAGCATAATTCTAAGGCAAGACAGACAAAAAAAAAAAAAAGGCTATTTTTGGGCTATTTGGCAGGTCATAATGTTGAGTTGGGCTAGTGAATAAAACAAAATAAAGTTAAATAATTTAGGATTAATTTGTTAAGTTAAAGAATTAAATTACTTTTGGGATCCAAAATAATAAAATTATTGTTGATAAAATAAAATAAAACAAAATTAAATTAATTATTTTAAATACATATATTAAATCATTTAATTATTGTTTAAATATGAATAATTTATTTATTATTGCTTATAATTTAAATAATACATATCTAATATGTTGAGAAAAATAGTGCATTTTTTACATGCATTTAAAAAAAAGTTGCAATGCAAAACTAAGTTTGCAATTCTCAGTTTTATAATTTTTTTTCTGCACTTTAATTCATCTGGATTGTATGTTATTGTGTACAACAATAACAGCATATTAATATTTTATTTTCAAACTGGATTAAACTGTAGTCTGGCATAGCTGGTAATTTGTTTACTAAATCTTTAAGCGATTATCAAAGGCTAACCCAAGCTAATTCTCATTGGGTTCTGTAAATAAGAGATGTAAACAGTCAGTCAGACATGTTACTTCTGCTTTCTCTGCTCTGACTGTTTCTCTGGGAGATTTTCAGCTTAGTTTTAATTCTCAGCCTGAGGCCAGAAGAGCCTGAAGGCACGAAGAGAAGATCTGCAGGTCCATAAAGACTGACAGAACCATCAAAAATATTCACAGCTCAACTGCCTTTATGAGGAGATTTATTGACACAATGTAATCTGTCGCCCTTTCTCCTAACCGTAACATCCTTCACTCTGCATGATTTATAAGATGAACTTATGGGGACCAAAACAATGTCCCTATAAGGTCAAAAACTACTGCCATTACTATACATGAGGGGATATTTGGTATCAACAATGTCAAG